TCTAGTGCCACGGCCTCTTCTAAACCCAGCTTGTATTTCTGGTAGTTCTTAGTCAATGTACTGTTCCAGTCGTTTCTGGATAATTTTCATCAGGATTTTGCTTGTGTGTGATATGAGTGTTATTATACGATGATTTCCACACTCTATTGGGTCACTTTCTTTGGAATGGGAATAAATATGGATCCCTTCCAGTCAGTTGGCCAGGTAGTTGTCCTCCAGATTTCTTGGCACAACCTGGTGAGGACATCCAGGGCAGCATCTGTTTGTTGAAATATGTCATTGGTGTTCCATCAATTCCAAGTTTCTCCTTGGAGTCTAGGATTTTGAAGCTCCGTCTCATGTAACTTGGGCTCATGGCCAGGGGGGACCAAACCTTGGAGAAAGACATCATGCTCAGAAGGGTGGAGGGACAGCACAGGAGAGGGAGACCCCAGATGAGATGAATTGATACAGTAACTGGAGCAATGGCGGTAGGTTTGTGGGAGTCAGTGAGACTGGCTCAGGACAGGGCAGGCTTCAGAGCTGTTGTACATAGATGGGGTCACTATGAGTGGCAGCAAGGGTACCCTAAACTAAGACTCTCCCTTTTTTGCCCACTAATGAATGACTAGACTTAGGTCTCTATGTTGTTGTGTACAGTCAAGTCAGAATCAACCCATAGCTGACCTTTGAGCAGATTTTCAGAGGCAGTAAATCACACGGGAGGAGACCGCCCATCTTCCTCCTGTGGACCAGCTGTTGAACTTGAACCACATGCCTTCGGGATGGCAGTATAGCTTCTTAACACTAGGCCACCAGTGCTCCCTTATGTCTCTATATTCTAGACATGTGAGGCCATACAAAGATTTTCCGTTTTGTGGCTAACTTGTTCCACTCAACACAGTGTTTTCAAGACTCATCCACATTGCATCACGTATTGGGAATTATTTCTTCTTGTACGTATCTACTACATGCTGTCTGGCCATCACTCTGCTGTTGGTAATTTAGCCTGTTTACACCCTTTGGCCATTGCCCACCACGCTGCAGTGCACACTGGGGTACAAGTTCAGCTTCCCACTTTCTGTTCTTTTGGATGGCATGCACTCTTTGAATGCCACACCTTGATATTGATCCAGATTGACCCCGTGATCGTTTAAAACCCCTAAAAGCTTTCTAAATCTGCTGCTGCTAAACTGTATCTCTCCTGTTCCAATTTTGGACTCTGCTTCAGAATGTGGCATTTTTCATTATACTGCTCCACTTTCTTAAATTCCTCCCATCTTTCCAATCTTCTGGATTTTTTATTTCTATTTCTGAACCGCACGTGTGTCCTTGGCCAAGGTGAACATCAGGCTCCCAGTGTCTCTGTCTGATCAATGATGAACAGACTGGGTCAGACATGGCTGGAGACAGAGCCCTGTGGTCTTCTCCTGAATGCCTCCATCTGACCCATTGATCGGTTCCCTTTGAGTCTAGGTCAGTCGATCAACCAGTTACAATAATAGGATACTAGTAGCCACCAGCACAATGTCCCCTCTTTCTGAAATCTCACAGGGATTTCAGAACAGAGAACATCAGATGTCTGTCTCATGGAGAGCCCGTGTGTCTGTAGCAACCTCTTCATCTGCTGGCCCTGCAACCCTGACTTGGAAAGGAGGTGGAGTTAGAGTGCGGTGGCTTGCTCCTGACAACTGTCACAGGTGGATACTGTTCCCTCTTCCAAGGGCTTAGGGACATCCTTCAAATAACCTGCCTCAGAGTCCGACCTGCTCCCTCTCTCACTCACTAGGTGAGCTTGGCACTATCCACCATCTGTCCTACTAAAAAATCCAGGCTGCATCTGCCCCCTGCTGTCCTGACTCTCCTCTCCTCAATCAGTTAGGCAAAGATTGCCCTCAGCAGCCTGGCAGCCTTACCCAGGCACTCCTGAGTGCTAGAGGCAGAATTGCTGAGCATTCTGGAGATCTGAGTGCATCCAGAACTTCTCCCGCCACCTCTCCTTCCAAAACCTGCAAGAACTCTGGCCCAAGTCATCACTGCTCGGCACCTGCTGCAAAGCCTCCTGCCGGGGCCGTAGCATTCTCTCCCCACCCCTCTGCCAGCTGCCAGCAGTGCCAGGGCAGGCACTGGAGAGCTGGAGAGGAAGGGACGCCCCCTCATCTCACAGAGGAGCCAGACATGCAAACAAAATGCTGAACCTCAGCATCTGAATGTCACATCAGAGATGTGGACAGAGCTGTGGAAGCATGAGGAGGGAATGATTCATCTTCTCCAGAAGAGAGGGATGCTTCCTGGGGAGGGGTGACATTTTCGCTGGACCCTGAAGGGTGAGTCAAAGCTTCAGGGTGCATATCTGCAGAGGAGAAGGGAAACCATTCCGGCAGAGGGGAGCAGGTGAGGACCCAGGGGGCGGGGGCATATTGGGAGAACAATGAGTGTCTATGTTTCCTTGGGCTTCTGGAACTAATTATGACAAAGTGGGTGGCTTAAAAGAGAAACCTATTTTCTCACAAGTCTAGAGGTTAGAAGTTCGGATTTAGGGTGTCAGCAGAGCTGTGCTCTCTCTGGAGGCTCCTAGGGAATTTCTTTCTTGTCTTTTCTAGTAGCCCCAGGGGTCCCTGGGCTTGTGACAGCATGCCACCAGTCTCTGCCTTCATCTTCATGTAGCCTGTGTGTCTCTGAGGTCACCAGTCACAGAGTAATGACCCCACCTCAATTACTGACATCTGCAATGACATCTTCCCAAAGAAATTCATGGGCTCCAGTCCCAGGGAGTCAGGGCTTCACTGTATCTTTTTGGGAGATGCAGTTCAACCCAGAACTGGCCCAGGCTGAGGGTCTGGATGTTGGCTATCAGGCTTGGTGTGGCCTGAGGGGTCTTGCAGGCTCTATTTCAGACCGTGCCATAGACTCTTCCGTTCTACCTCCTCTTTGTCTTTCATTTGTTCAGCCAGTTCATCGAGCTCCACAGATCCTGGGCATTTCACTGGCACTAGTGGTCATTCTGTAGTTAAGGGAGAGCTAGACTGCAAACCTACAATGACAGACAGCAGGTACAAAAGCTGTGGGAGGGCAGCAGCAGCCAGAGAGACTCAACTTTCTGTCAAGTGGCCTACAGTGGCTTCTCCTCCACCAAGTGCATTCAGATCTTCTCCCTAAAACTTTGACTCATCTTTCAGGGTCCATCTTTCAGAATGACATTTGTCACCCCCGCCCATGAGAAGCATCCCCCTCTAAAGGGGAGGATGAATCATTCCCTCCTCGTGCTTCCACCATTTCTGTCCAGCTCTCTGATGCTGAGGTGCAGTGCTTTGTTCACACATCTGCCTCCCCTCTGAGATGAGGAGGGGCCCCCCTTTCCTTCTCAGCTCATTCATGGGCAGCCTTCTTTCTTCTGGGCTCCAATATCTTGTCCGCATCTTTGGCTTTGGTGACAGATAGAAGGTCATCCCGGAGTCAAGCACAGTGGTCAAGAGAGATGCCTGAAGCGTGGCAAATAGGAGGAGATGCCTGTTAAATATTCCAGGAGGAGTCTTGCTGGAGCTGGGAGGGCAGCCAGTTATCCAAAGAAGTGGGAAGTCAGCTGAGAGGAAAGAAGGGTCCTAAGAGGTTAGCAGGGCAGCTTTTGTCTGTAAGCCCCTCCCCAAGATATCCTGGACAATGATCTCAGGTATAGGCAAGTATTGAAGGTTCAGATCCAGGCAGGGACATCCTCAGGGTCACACAGCAAGGAGTGGAGAAGCCCTTGATTCTAAAGACTTGCAGCTGGTCAGTTCTCCCCATTGCTGTCACTCCCTCACTCTGTCCACTTCGGAGACTCTCAGTCTCATATGGCCTGTCTCTCTCTTTGCCTTTCTATCTTGGTAGTTCTGAATAGGCCCCACTGCCATCACTCTGAGGCCAGGGGGCAGGTGGCAGGGAAGGACCCATCCAGGGTGCCCAGATATATATCTGGTCTTTTCTTTCCCTTCATCCACCCCTTTCCTCCCTCCCATCCCACTCCCTGGGAAGAAGGCCTCCCTGTTGCTTAGCAACTGGCAGAGCCTTAGAGAAAGGAAATAGAAATAGCTCAGGCGGTGCCCCCTCCTTGTGAAAATGGAGGTCCTCTGTGTGTGTGTGTGTGTATGTCCCTTGCTGGGGACCAGGGCTTCTTATCTCTTAAACCACGCTGACCTCCCTCCCTACCCCTAGCCCAGGGGAAGATGAGGCTATGGAAATCCTACTATCAATAGTACATCTGGCCATTTTATCAGAAGCAGTTTCCACAACAAAGATGGGGACAGTCTTTGATCCCTACCTGGAGTGCTGGCTTTAGGGCAGTTGGCCAGATCAGAGTGGGAACTTAAAACAGCACGTGGAAATGGACTCACACCTAGCTGGGAATGACTTCATTTTCCTCCTCTGCAGAGCATCACTGGGAGCAGACTAGGGGGTGGGTGCTCGTGATCTCTGACCTCACAGGCCACGGCTGAAGGAGTGGTCTGTCAGTCACAGGCCAGAGCCAGGATAGTGGTGGGGAGGTGGGGGAAGAGGAGGTTGAAAATGAGCTTGAGAGAAAAACAAGAATAAAACTAGCAATCGATGATTTTCTAGAGACGGATTCGGTGGACAAGGAATTGGTGGGGAAGCTAGCCGCGGTGGGCTGGCTCTGGGAACTCGTGCCAGCCAGAGAAGGCCACCCAAAGGTGGCGGCTGTCCCAAACAGCCCCCCCCCCCCGCCCAGGGATGACACCTTGAGTTGATTCCAAGTTGAGAGGCCTGGAAGCCACAGGCCCAGCCTTTACAGACAGAGAAAGTCCCGCATCAATCCCTGCTCTCGAGCTGAGGTGTGACCCGAAAATGCAAACCAGCCCCCTCTCCGCTGCTGGAAGCGGATTAGCGCTGGGGTGGGCCTGTAAATCTCCGGGGATTAACTCGCGCAGAGGAGTTTAGCAGGTGGCCGAGAAGTGACCATCCCGCCCCGGGTCTGTGTCCGCCCCGCAGGTCCAGCGACCAAAGCCGGCGGCTCCGGATCCTGCGCCATGTCCTCTACTGTGAATAACGGGGCGGCCAGCATGCCACCCCCGGCCGACGCCGCGAACGGCTTCCCGCAGCCGGGCGCGTCCTCCGGGGCCTGGCCGCGCGCAGACGAGGACATGCGCGCCGCCGAGCCCGGACTGGTGAAGCGCGCGCACCGCGAGATCCTGGATCACGAGCGCAAGCGGCGCGTGGAGCTCAAGTGCATGGAGCTGCAGGAGATGATGGAGGAGCAGGGGTGAGCGGGCTGCGCGAGGGCTGGGATCCAAGGGCGGGGCCAAGAGGCTGGGGCGGGACCAGCGGCGCTGGGCGGAGCCTAGGGAGCAGGTAGGTGCTGGGCGGAGCCTTGAGTTGTTGGGCAAGAAGCTGGGGCGGGGCCAGGGGCATGGGGCGGGGCCTTGGGGAGCTGGGCAGAGGCTGGGGCGGAGCCACTGAGCAATGAGCCGGGGGCCTTAGCACACTGGGCCAAAGGCTAGGGCAGAGCCTTGGGTTCGGACGCTTAGCAAGGTCTGGGGAGGAGCCAGGGGGCACTAGGGCGGGGCCAGAGGGCGCTGGGCGGAGCGAGGAGAGGAAGGGTTGGGAAGGAGCCAGGTGGTGCTGGGCGTGGCCTGCACATGCTAGTTGGGGCGTGGCTTGAGGTGGGGCCAGGACTCATTTGGGCGGGGCCTGATGCCTGAGGTGGTGGTTGAGACCGAGCCAGGAGCAGCGTCCCAAGAGCCTGAACTATCTGGGGTGAAGTAATGCAAGCCAAGTTCACCTTTCATCAATCCATAAACTGTCTCAGTGTCCACACTATGTCAAGCTCTGACCTGGGCTGGGATTTGCAAAGATCAAACCTAGTCCCTGCCCTCCAGAATCGTTCAGTCTAGATGGGAGAGAGAAGCTTGTCATCAGTCATCAATGACAATAGGCCTCCATTTTCCCTTTCATAAAATGAACGAGTCTAGCTGCACTGGTTCTACTGGACCCAGTGAGGTTAACCCTTGGCTGATAACCAAAAGGTTGGTGGTTTAAACTAACCAGCAGTTCCCCGGGAGAAGGATGTAGCAGTCTGTTCCCGTATGGATGTCCAGCCCTGAGGACCTTGCGGGGCAGTTCGGTTCTGTCCTGAAGGATGGCTGTGAGTTGGAACCAACTCGCGACTATGAGTTGTGGGTCAATACCAATGAACAAGAAGTTCAGAACCAGTCTTAGGTCCATACAAGCCAAGGCTGTGCTGGACAAAGTTGGCTCCCCGGGGCCAGACTGGAGTCACTTCCTATCCCCACAGACACATCCCCATACACCCGTCTAGGAAGGGAAATGGGCATGTTCGTTAGCAACTCCACCAAGAGGCTAAGTAAAATCGGGTGATAGGACTCACAGGGCAATGTGTTTCAGGGGCTCAGAGAAGATGTAGAAATGGGCCATGAAGGACAAGTTTACCAGACTGAGAAGAAGGGTAGGTGAGAGATGTACAGCTTCTTAGGACACCCACCAGACATTAAGGATGTAGGGAGCCCTCCCAACCAGGTCTAGTGGAAGCAGAACAGCCGTGACATGCAGAGCTGGAGGCCAAGAAATAGAAAGCAGGATTTGCTCCTGTGAAGCCCCAAGGGCCTGGAAGTCCTCTAAATACTAGCAGGTGGACTGCTGAGGAAGAAGAGGCAGGGAGTGGGGCTTTCCCATCAGATCTGTGCTGACAGCTCACTGAGATGCCAAAAATTCCCTCCAAGTGGGGAGTGGGTTGTTCCTAGAGTCACAGCTGGGCCAGGCCCTGCCATGGCTGAGGGTCCTTGTTCTCTGCACGACAGCCCCTTCAAGCTACACTCTTGTCTGTCCTGGGATTCCCCAGGAGGCAGCCAACACCTAGGCCACCCTCCTATAATACCCAGAGGGCACAGCAGGTCGAGATAACCCCTGCTTGTTCATGTGGCCACCAGGCTACCAGGAGGACAAGGACAGAGCTGAGCCAGGCACCAAGTTGGCTGTCAGACAGGACTACTCTGAAGAGAAGAAAAGAGAGGAGTCAAGGATTCAGTCCTCACTTCTGGCTATGGGGAAGTGGAGGGGCCCCTGTGAGGGGGGATGCAGATGGATGGGAGGGTGCTGAAGAGCAAGGAGGCCCCGAGCAATTGGTGAGCTGTGGATGTGAGAAAGGGAAATGGGAGCCCAGGGCACAGGGCTGGGCAGGGCGAGGAGTGGCGGATCCTCCCACAGAAAGAACCACAGGACTTTCATTAAACCTGATAATATGTAGGAGACTCTGGGAGTGAGGGGAGTGTGGGCAGGTGGGTGTGACTAGGGAACAAGAGGAATGGCAGGGACAGACAGGGGACAGCCTTCAGAGCTCTATTCTTGGAAACCCCCCTCCCCCTCACAGAGCCCTGTGCCTCCCGGAGCCCAGCCTTTCTGGAAGGCACCTCTCCTCACAGAGCACCCAGCTTTCACTGACCTCTCCATCCTGAAAGCCTGTCACCTCCCAGAGCCTCTGTCCTTCACTGAACCCCCATATCATACCCCTCCCCTACCTGAATCGCATCCCACTCCCTAAGACCCCAGCCACTCACTACACAGGTGAGGGTCATTATCAGGAGAGGGCAGCCTCGGCAGGGGGTGGTGGCATTTGGCCATGTCCTTGATTCCAACCTTTCCTTTCTCCCACAGCCCCTGGGCATCAAGGTTCTCACTTCCTAAGGAAGAACCCACTAGGTCTCCACATGTGCAGTCAGGGTCCTCAGGTGGCCTTGGAGACACCCCTAAATCCGGCTCCTGAACTATCATCCCCACCCACTTCTCACTCCTTAGTGGACATTTGGTCAGTGGAAGGTCCAGCCACTTTGACCCAGAAAGCCTAACCCATTTCTCTCAAATCAACTGTGACTTCTAGTGACCACTGAGGTCACAGCAGAACTGCCCCATGGGGTTTCCAAGGCCATCTTGACAGAAGTAGACTTTCTCCCTCAGAGTGGCTGGTGGATTTGAACTGACAATCTTTTGGTTAACAACCGAATACTCAACTGTGCCACTGAGGCTCCTTCACTTGAAGTCACTTGTAAACTAGGGATGGTGGCACCTGCCTCCAGCATTGTTCTGGGATTCCCCTGACGTAAGATAGACGCAGGGCTGCCCCTGCCCCTGGAAGTGATCAATAAATAGCAGCACCTTTGCTCGGTTGTGAAATCCAGTCATTAATACCCATTCCCAGAAACATTGCTTCATTTTCTTTTATTCATCTGGTTCTCCAGCTTTTGACAAATATTCACACCACTCTTTGGGGTCCAGTACGAAGCAGAGTTCCTCCTTAATTTTGATGGATGGCAGTTAATTCACCTGGGATTGTTGCTGCTCTTAGAGTCTCCTTCCCAGGGGGCCTCTGTGTGTACCCTGCAGTCACCACCAGATGCGGGTCTACTGAGTTCACAAGCTGTATGACATGGTAACCCCACCTTAGCCCCACACATCCCCCTACCCCACACATCTTGTCACACCCCTTTCCTCTGGGAAACAAAGAGGTGCACAGAGCATGGATTGAGATCGCATGCCCTCCTCTCCCCACTGTGTTTCCTCATCTGGGAAATGGAAATCATAATACTGCCCTTTCCTGAAAAGCTGAAACAAAGACCAGACTTGTGATCAAGGAAGTGATTCCTTGATCACAAATGCTGACCTCTGACCCATAGGGGTGTTAGCCTTCTGTAAGCATCTGGTGATTCAAACCTCAGTGTTTAGCCATGATTATTGTCACAGGGCAAGCCGAGAATTCTTTGCAGGCCAACCTAGAACTGTCCAGGTCTTCATGGAACCCTGGGCTCTGTCCCACTGCCAGTGTTTATATTCTCCTACAGACACCTGTGGAAAAGGGGCCTGGACACTTCCTTCCTAGGCCAACCTGATCGAGGGCCCTGTGCCTTTAGAGCAGCCCCCCTCTGTCTGCCTTCCAGGGGTCTCTGAATGGGGACAGGGAGTGCAGTGCTATATGTCCTGGGCTGGGGACAAAGGCAGGCTAGTCTCCTGAAAGGAAGATGCTCGCAGAACACATCACCCCATCTTCCAGAGCCCCAGCCATCCAATGAGCAAGCCAGGCTAAAGGACTTCCAGGCCCCCATGTCCAAGCCTGAGGTTAAATGAAGCCTGAGGTGGACACTGATGGTCCAGAGAGCTTGGTGAAGCTGGCTTAGAGGCATTAACACACTGACCTGAACCACATGCACCAGCCAAGTGAAGATGGCCTAACAGGAGATGGGCGAGCCCAGCCTTTCCCGTGGTGGACGACTAAGCAGCCTAAGTCTGCAGTCAGACCCTTAGATGAGGTCAAAAGTCACTCTGGGGCACCCAAGTAAGAAGGTGAATGGGATGATGCTCCCCCCGCAAAGCCGTCTTCCACAAAATATTCAGTAGGTCCCAGCCATTCTCCTTCTTAGACATTTATTAGCTATTTCTTTCCTCTACCTCCGCTCCATCTTCAGGACTGCTGTCTAGTTCTTCTCCCAGAACCTTTGCAGGAATCTAACACAGCTCTCCCTGGCTCCAGCCCCTCTCTTCCAGCCAAATGAGTCATCTGGCCCAAATCTTCAAATTCTCCCTGCCTCTCCACCACCAGTCACTGGTAAGGCGGCAGGCAGAGTGCCAGGTGCTGGGGAATCAACCACAAACCAGCCTCGTTCCCTCAGGGAACTCCCAGACCTGCACAGGATGCAGACAAGTCAACACCAGTAATTATCAGAGCGTGAACGGCCTATCAGGATCTGGGAGGTACAGGTTGCTATGGAAACAAACGCTGGCACCTAACCTGGTTAAGGGTATCAGGCCTGCTGTACACATCCAATGAGTCAAACCTTTGTGTTTAGCCATGATTATTTTCCAAGAGTAAATCTAGAAGTTAATTTATGAGTCAAAGGAGTTATTCATTGTTTTGAGGCTTTTGAAGAGAATTGCCAAATTGTCCTCTAAAAAAGGATGGGGTCAGTTTGTGGATGCTTGTTGAAGGAACGATGGGAAGGAGCTGGGACAGATGGAGAGAAAAAAGATACAAAGAGAAAACAAGGCACCAGGTTCACGTATAAGTCGAGCAGGACAGGCTGGGCCTGCAGTAGAGACAGATAGTGATGGTGACCTCTGTGCCTATTTTGTCACCATGTTTTCTGTCAAAGACAATGACCTGAAGGTCAGGAAGAACAGAGGGAAGAGTGTGGGGAATGATTCAGCCACAGCCTCTTGGACACCAGCTGTAGGTCAGGCTTGAGCAGAGGTTGTCAGGAAGTTTGAGAGACTGGGAAGCCGCTGTCGCAATGACGCAGTGAGAGACAGACGGCAAGGCCTGACTCCAGAGCATGGCAGCAGGGATGACAACTTTAGTCCCCGCCCAAGACGTCAGGCGGGGTGTGGTGTGGGGGGCACATAGGAGGTTAGGAGTGTCCATTCCAAGTCCATGCTAAGTCATTGGCAGAACTAAACCGTGGATCAGTCACTGGGATCCCAGGCAAACTATTTGACACCTGACTTCAAAGAGGTGAGGATAAAAAGCTACAAATAGGTGGCTTTAAAGAACAAAATTTTCTTTTTTTAATTAATTTTCATGAAAGTTGACAGAGATTTTGGATTTCCATTCATTCATTGTTGCATTTTTCTCACTGCCCACCCCCTAGCCCCCTAATTCTCTCTTCTCTTTGAAAAGTAAAAGAAACATTTTTTCATTGCTATACAATCCCTTCCCCCAAAATCCACTCCACTGTGCAGCCTTCATTCTGGACTCCTGTCATGACAATACCTAATCATATATCCCTTTTAAACAGTTATCTCCCTCATCTGTTTCAATGCAGTATACATAATTTATCCCATCTCTCTCAGTCTCCCCCCAACCCTGATATCAGTCCCGTTTTATAACAGTCACACTATGAAATATTTGTCCTTTTGTGTCTGAGATATTTCACCCAGCATAATGTCCTCCAGGGTCACCCACTTCGTATAATATTTCATGAGTTCCTTGTTTTTCAGTGCCGCTTAGTATTCCGTTGTGTGAATATACCACAGCTTCTCTACCATTCATTTGTTGATGGGAAAACTTTATTTCTTGTTTGAGATTGTTGTTATGTGATTAAGAGTTTATTCTGGCTCCTAGAGACCTTGTGTGTAACAGAAAAACCATGGCCTGACCCCATACTATTCTCACAATCATTGGTGTGCTTGAATCTATGGTAGCAAGCACTCCGTCAATCCATCGCACGAGGGTCCTCCTCTCTCTCCCCAACCCTGCACTTGACCAAGCTTGGCATCCCTCCTGATAACATGGCCAAGTGCATGAGAGGAAATCTTGTCATTCTCATTGCTGAAAAGCATCCCAGTTGTACTTCTTCCAAGACAGATTTATTCTTTTTTTCTGGCAGTCTATAGTATATCCGATATTGTAGCAATATGGAAATTCGAAGGCATCAATTCTTCTTTGCATTTCCTTATTTATTGCTCAGCTTTTCCTTCCTTATGAGGCCACTGAAAACACCATGGATTAGGTGAGATGGACCTTAGTCTTCAGTGTGACATCTTTGCTTTTCAGCACGTTAAAGATTTGCTCAAAGCACTAAGTCATTTGATTTATTAATGACTGTTTCCATGGGCATTGATCAGGAACCCAAATAAAATTAAACTCTTGACTACTTTGCTGTTTTCTCCATTAATCATGGTTTTGTTGATGGGTCCAGTCGTGAGGATTATTCGTCTCTTGGTGTTGAGATGTAATCACCCTGAGGGTTGTAGTCTTTGCTCCTCTTCAGTAGGTCCTTCAAGTCCTCTTTACTTTGAGCACGCCTGGTTGGGTCATTTGCATATGTTCTTTACACACGTACAGGTTGTTGGTGAGTTTTCTTCCCATCATGGTGCCACATTCTTCCTAATATAACCCGGCTTCTCCGAGTATTTGCTCGGCATGCAGGTTGGATGTTGGTGGTGATAGGCACTGTCACATTGACCATGACACACAGAGACCCAAGTAGCAGATCTGAACTTGGCCCTATCGTGCGCCATCATCATCATCTCCAGCATGCCCACTGTGGGAGTAACTGTGTTAATCTTCCTCTCTTTGACTGACCCTTTTCTTTCCCCAAAGTAAAAAAGTATCAGCCTGACATCATTTCCCAAAGACTGGTTCATCCTGACAACATGCCCACAAGATGTGAGAAGTGTCACTATTTTGCGTCAAAGGAGCATTCTGGTTGCACTTCCTCCAAAGACGTCTGTCTATTCTCTCAGCAGTCCATGGAATAGTCAATAGTGTTCTCCAACACCAAAATTCAAAGGCATCAGTAATTCTCTAGTCTTTCTTATTCATTGTCCAACTTTCAGATGCCTAGGGGGAAATTGAAACTACCATGGCTTGCACTTTAGTCTTGAAACTGACATCCTCCCTCCTTGGCAGTTGAAAGAGATCCATGACAGCAAATTGGGTAAGTACAGTGAACAGATCCAAGCCTGAAACATATTTCCCTAATTTAAACTACAAGGCACACCCTTGTTTGAACAATTAATTGCTTCTTGGTCTACATACACATTCCACATGAGCATAGCTAAGTGTTCTAGATTGCTATTTCTAATTTATATGGTCCACATGGTAAAAAGTCTTCCATAGTCAGTAAAACATATGTAAACCTCTCTCTTTCTGGTATTCTCTGCTTTCAGTTAAGAGCCCTCTGACATTAGCAATGACAAAAGGGGATCTTCCAATGATGGATTATCCATCTGCCATTAGCAATGATGAAACCTTGCCCTGAATCCCAGAATTTCTAGCACTTCCTTGACAATGTACTACTCTAACAATTTTAAAATAATCTTCAGCAAGATTTTCTTTGCATGTGAGATTATTAATAGTATTTTATAACATTCTGTTGGGTCACCTTTCTCTAAAACTGGCATAAATATTAATCTCTTCCAGTCAAATTTCTTGGCATAGAAATGACACTTAGTGTTGCATGCATTTGTTGAAACATCTTAATTGGTGTTCTGTCAGCTCCTGGAGCTTTGCTTTACGCCAACGCCTTCAGTGCAGCCCAGATGTCTTCCTTCATTACCATTGGCTCCCTATCATGTACAACTCCTGAAATGGCTAAATGTCAGTCAGTTCTTTTGAGTATAGTGACTCTGTGTTCCTTCCATTTTCTTTTGATGCTTCCTGTATTGATCAGTATTTTTCTGTTGAATCTTTCAACATTGCAACTCAAGACTTGAATTATTTTTCTTCAAATGCTGAGCATTTCCCTCCCTTTTGATTTTATAGCCCCAGGTCTTTGTACATTTCACTAAACTATTTTGCTTTGTCTTCTCAAGGCACTCTTTGAAATCTTCTGTTCTTTGGAAAATCTTTTATTATTTCTTTCATTCACTTTAGTTGTCCTAGGTTCAAGATTAAGTGTTAGAGCACCTTCTGGTATTCTTTATTTCTTCAGATACGATGTCCTTGGCATCATCTCACTACCCATCAGGTCTCTTTGGTCATTAGTATTCACTTTGATGAGGAGGCTACAAGGTCCAATCTAGGACACTGGCTTTAGGGAAGGGTCCTTCTTTGTCTCTTGTCTTCTGAAGCTCTAACGTTTCTTTGTGTTCCTTGACTGTAGATGTATCTGTCCTCTCCCTGTGTATCTGTATCTATTCAGCTCTTTTTATAAAACAAGACTTAGAAGGGTCTAGGGTTAGAATCCACCCTACTCCTCATAACATGAAAACAAGCTTCGATTTCCAAACAAGGTCATATTTACAGGTACAAGGATTAGAACCTCAATATCACCTTTTGGGGTACCAATTCAACCCCCAAAGGCTATGTGTTGTGAGGAACAGCTGTCATTGAGTCCAGGGGAAGCAGAAAAGGCCATGTATGAGTCAAGTCCAGGTTTCTCACTGCTCACCTGGAATGTCACGGTGACGCTGGCCCCCAAATCACAGGAAGGTCTGCTTTGGGAGTGGAGGAAGGCAAGGGGAGGAATTTAGCTTCACTGGAATGGTCTCTATCTCTAGGAATAGATTTACCTTTATGTTTGTTTCGTTGGCTTGATTTAATGCAAATTGGGTAGGCTTGGGGTTCCCTCAATGCCAAGAACCTTTTTTGGTCCTGCGACCTCAGAAAAGTCCTCACAGCCTCCTGGAAGGTGCACCATGCCCAAGGGCTGGGCAATGGACTGGGGAGAGATGGGCAGGGGGATAACCAAGGCCAAGACAGCACCCTCACCATCTCTGTGTCACTACAGGTACTCGGAGGAGGAGATCCGGCAGAAGGTGGGAACCTTCCGGCAGATGCTGATGGAGAAGGAGGGTGTGCTCACCAGGGAGGACCGGCCTGGGGGCCACATGTGAGTGCTCACCTGGCCAGGTGTGGGGGAAGAGAGAAGGAGGGTCCAGGCTCAGGTAGCAGTTAAATGCCAGAAGGACCCTTCTAAGTCCTTGAGGGAGGCAGAGGTGTAAGGAAGAGAAAGGTGGGGGGAGGGAATGGAGCTCAGGGTGTGCTGCTAAGCTGGTGGGGTGTCCAAGGACCTCCTCCTGGTTCTTCTCAGCGGTGAGAGGGACAGGGAGACAGCCAGCTCCCAGCTCCAGAATCCTGGGCTGCACATCCCAAGAAGTGTCTCTAGTCCCTATGTACCTCAGTTGTTATAACCTGTAAAATGGGCTCCAGATTAAGTGTGCACTCTGAACAATAAGAAGCAACACCCCAAATGGCACTGCCATGTGGACAAATGCTTGACAGTTAAAGAAAGCCGGGGCCTTTCTGGGGACCCATCTCTGCAGCCTCTCGGAGGATCTGTGTGCTATGATCCTTCCAGGAACGCTTCAGGTCAAAGAGGGAAGTACTGGGACCTCATCTCAGGTGAGAGAAGAACCGTGAAGTGCTCAGGTTGAAGCCCTTGAGGGCTACAAATGGTTTGCTCTCGAGTATTAACTGAGAAGCAGCTCTGGGGGCCTCGTGTTAAGCGGCTGTACTGCACTCAGAAAGGCACACTGCTCAAATCCATCAGCTGCCCTTGGGAGAAGGATGGGTAATCTCCTCCCGTACAATTGACTGCCTCTGAAAACCTGCTGAAGGATCAGCTATGAGCCGGTTCCGACTCAATGGGACATAACAAGAACATGAACTGAAAAGCTGGCGGTTGAATCCAGCCCAGCAGTTCCACAGAATAAAGACCAGGGGTGATCTCTACTTCCTAAGATTCTATCCATTGAAAATCCTCCAGAATACAGTTGTGCTCTGAAGCGGGTGGGGTCACGGTAAGTGATGCGATGGGCAACTCAGTGATGACGGGACAGGGTGGACCCGACAGTGAGTGGAGCCAGCTGCTGCAGCGGGCCAGGCACAGCCTGTCCCTACAGGCATTCAGCCATGGCCGATGGCGAGCTGAGTGCCACGTCTGATACATGGCATGCACTCAGGAAGCCTGGTTGCGTCCTCTCTGATGGGCCTTCCATTTGACCAATCCTGAGGCCCCCATCCATCATTAACATAATGGGCTTCTCTGGCTGAAAGCAGAGCTGAGATTGGATGAGGGTCTAGAGTCAAAGCTGCTGGTCATCTCCTTGAGAGTGGGACTGTTTCGGGTGGGTTTGTCTTGCTAGGGCCCTAAATCCCTGTCCACCTTCACACACACAAAAACAAGCCAGTGGTGGCATCTTGTGAGTGATTTCCTTGTTACGGTCCTCATACGGGCAAGCAAAAATGGGAACAGAGGACCCCTTGATGGAGCGGCCCTCCTCTTCAGGTCTCTGAATTTCTGGGAGTACACTAAGGATAGGAATTCCCCACCCCTACCTACTTAACCCCATCTCCCTGGCCGGGGGCAGGCTTAGAAGGAACCACGAGCTTGCAGGAGATGCTGATAAATGACCTGAGGAGCCCGGCTCAGCCTACCCACTCTCTCTTCCCCTCCAGACCCGAGGTGCATCTATCACCAACTTCTCTTTGGCCTCCCAGAGCTCGCAGCATCATCCGCCTCACCAATGCCCTTCTAGTTACCTAACCCCAAGCACAGGGCCAGGCCTTCTCCTTCCTTCTCAAACTTCCTGACAGCCAGGACGTTGCTCTCAGCGGCTGCCCACACCACCCACCAAGCTGATCTGGGCTCCTCAGATAACCTCAGAGCTTCTCAGGCACTCCCCTCTCCTGTTCCTCCTCGACCCAGTGTGAGGGCAAGGAGCCTCCTCTGGCTCCCACCTTCTCTGAGCCTTTCGATGAAAGCTGCCCCCTCTGCTTCAAGGCTGAAGAACCTCCCTCTCCCTGCTTCCTTCTTAATTCAGTTCCTGTCCTAGAAAACAAATCCCTCCCTACTCTATTTTCTCCTCCAGCAACTATCTCATATTTCCCCCTTCCTTTCTTGGTTATATTTCTGTGGACAGTGCATTGTGTTCATAGTCTCTGTTCCCTGAGCCATGGCCGTCTGACTTCTGTCCCCACAACTCTTAAAACTTGCTTCTACCCCTGGCCACCAGGATCCCACTTACCACGGCCAACATTGCACTCTCTCTTCTGGAAAACTATTTTCTCCCATGGCTTCCAAGACAGTTTTAGCTGTATCCTTCCCCCCTGCCTCCTTCCTAGATGTTAGTTTTTCACCAAGGTCTTGTCATGTTCCCAGGTTTCTTCTCTGCACCTCCCTCCCCTCTTCTTCCTGGAAGAGCTCACTGTTACCTAATCTGAACTCTTTTCTAGTGACTGATACCCAAATCTTTTCCATTAGTTCTTAGCTTCTCTTTCTTTGAGAGAACAGGAATGAAAGATACACTTAAGAACATGAAACCTTAAAAACTTGGCCATGGATAAAGAGTGTCTGTAATAAAAAAAAAGTCTTGCATGTCTGAGCCTCGTCTGTGTTGTGCACGGAAAAGACGACAGGAAGGTGGGAGCCTTGCTCCCTGGCTGGAAAGGTAAACCTCCAGCCTAAACCCAAGAATTACTGACAACTCCTGACAAGAGGAAACACCACACACACATGAACTGTTTAGTGGGTGCTCAGTGGGGAGAGAGCTGGGTGCAGACTCTGGTGGTCAGTTCAACAAAGAGGCCCAGAAGAGCTCTGTGTCCATGCAGACCTTGTACTCTGGAGATGTCCTGGAAGGAGGGGATAGCAGGGTCCTGGAATCCCACCAGGATATCAGCTACCAGGAACTTGATTGGTTTTGTTTACTGCTGTATCTCTGATGCCCTAGTGAAAGAGCATCTCAGTCAATTTCCCCTAAAACCTCAATTTCTTCATTTATATGGTAAGGGGATTGAAGCAGAAGATGTCTTCTAGCCCGAACAACTTCAAATGGTATGAAAATAGCAGGACAGTCAGTGATTGCAGCAGGTTAAAGAGGCTGGTGGCAGCCCGGATAACACAGGCTGGGGAGCTGTTTGTGGTGCTGAACCCAAGGCTGCCTTGCGGTGAGGCACAGAGCTGTGAGGTAGAGGTGACGGAGGGCTGGCGGCAGACTGGCCGTGGACCTTTCTGTGCACCTGGCGTCCGGTCAGGTCTTCACTTCTTAGCTCAGAATGTGAGCAATGGAGAGGGTGTGAGCCCTGCCATCAGGCATTCTATGTGTCTAAACGTCGAAGTTCAACGTTGCCTTCCTGGATCCTGGGTTCCAGCCCCACTGCATCTCATCAGTGGTCTCAATTCCTTTATCCTTAAAATGGGGGTATTAGTGCCTACCTCATAGGATTGTTGAGATTAAATGAGATGGTGAGGGCCATTGTGAGGAAGAGCTTACCGAGACCCGTACTGCCACCCACTGGCCAGTCCTGTCCACGTGCTTTCAGGGATGCTTGGCAGAGGAAGTGCTGGACTCACCGTAACTTCTTCCTCCCAGCCGGGCTCATCATCTTCTCTGCCAATGAGGCAGTTCATGCAGGAGTCTCTGGGACTGACGTCTCAGGCTTCCTGGCCCTGGCACCTCCACATAACACTGACACGCTGGTACTTTTAAGACATAGAGAAATTCAGCCCCTCCTAAAGTGAAGACTCAAAGCCATGCCCTAAGGGAGCTCTGGTGGTCCAGTGGCAAGGAGCTGCAATCCCGAAGGTGCATGGTTCGAATCCATCATATGATCCGCTAGAGAAAGAGGGGCGATCTCCTCCTGTGCCAGTCAGATCCAATTCGATGGCACACAACAAGAAAGAAAAAAGAACAAAGCCATGCCCAGACTGAAGGGTCTCTATAACTGTTTAGGGGGAGATGTCTTTATTAATTTCAATTCTCCATGGACTGGGGGAGTCCATACTGTCTCCTACCTCCCAGCAGAAATAACAGAGGCAGAGTGACTCCCAGAGCGTTGTTCCCCAGGGATCCTATTCCTTCAGTTAATTAATTGTTCTCAGTAACAGTGTCCCTCTACCTTTCATGCAAACATAAAAGTGTCACTCTAAGGGAGCACTAGTGGCCTAGTGGAAAAAAGCTGTGCTGCAATCCTGAAGGTGCACGGTTCAAATCCACCAGATACTCACTGGAGAAGGAGGGGCAATATCCTCCTGTACCAGTCAGATCTGACTCAATGATACACAATGAGAAAGGGGGGGGGGGAGCGGGGAAGAATGTCATTCCAGTGGTGTCTGGTGGTGGGAACCAGAAGAAGATTTTTGAGATAAGGTATAAAGGAATCAGACAGATGCTTGAAAACAGACCCCTCCCCCTTCCCTGTCTGGAGATCCCTTCCCTGTCTGGAGAATGAGTCAGATACATGACTTCAGTGGGAACTTGGAGAGAGGCTGTGGAGAGGCCCTGAGGCAGGACACGCTTTCCTCTTTGGAAACAGACTGGATAAAGGGAGCTCTCATTTAACTGCCTCTGAAAACCCACTGGAGGGTCAGCTATGGGTCCGTTCTGACTCGATGGTACTCAACCACGGTTTTCCATAGATAGATGTCTTCCCACCATTTGTGAAAAAGCACCCCCCCATCTAGCCTTCTTTGCTCCCCTCTCTCAGCATCACACAGCAGCCAGCCTGACCTGCTTCAGCCCCCAGCTCTGGCCTGCACACTCCCACACCCACTGGACCTCAGGTGGAAGGGCTCTAGTTCGTTCTGCATAGATTCAAATATGTTCCCATCATTCAAGGCTGTCTCTCCAAAACACCTGGCTAATCTCCCTGGGATAAAGGTAAACTCTTCAGTTCTGTGGAAACTCTTTGGTTCACTGCCATTGAGTCTGTTCTGAGTGCGATGGTCCTCAGTCAGGTGTCTGAGGTCGTAAGTCTTCACAGGAGGAGAATGTCCACCTTTGCCCTGAGGTTCCTAACGTCTGGCTTTTTAGTTAACAACCCAACCTGTTATACACTTTGCCACCACAGTTCCCTCCTTTTTGGAAGATATATGAGATGTTTTTCCCC